TTTGACCCTTCACAGTAACTATCTTAGCATCCACCACATTATCGACGCTAAGCCCATATTTTCTCATCATAACCCCATAACCGCCACCGCTGATGTGGCCTCCAGCACCAACCGTTGGACAAAGCCCAGCAGGAAATCCGTAAACGTTGGTTTTTGTACCAATTGCATAATAAACTTCTCCAAGAGTAGCTCCAGAGTGAACCCAGGCGGTGTTATCCGCAAGATTAACATCAATGGAGTTAATATTAAACATGTCGAGAATGACAAAAGGGATATCCGACGTGTAAGATAAACCCTCGAAATCATGGCCACCACTTCGGATTTTAAGTTGCAATCCATGATGTTTGGCACAAAGCACTGTTGCTTGGACATGGGACTCATTCTTGGCAGTTATTATGGCCAAAGGTTTTGGAGTTGTGGATGTCGAGTATCTGCGGTTATTGATATGCAATAACAAAACAGATTGAAATGAGGCATTTTGAGGGGTGTAAATTGCTTCTTGGATTGGGTAGGCATGAGAATATTTTGTGAGGCATTGGAGAAAGCCATCAATGTCAACTGTTTTTGCAGTTGTCCATGATACTGAGAATGAAAGGACAGAGAGAATGAAAAGTGCTAGAGTGTTTCGGAACTTCATTGTTAGGGGCTGTGGCTTTCTTGCTTTAATTTTTGGCTGTGTGACAAGATAACGGACTTGAGGCAGTATTTATGATGAAGCCGAAGCACGCCATTTTGGACTTTTTCTTTGAGCTTTCATTGAGCTACTGTAGGCAACATGGTCTCCTCCCATTTTTTTAATATCAACTTTGCTCTGCCATGACTATTACACAATAATAGACCATACTTTGCATTTATGATGAGTTATTATTACAAGTTTCAACGGATTAAGCCAGACACCAATTAAGACAAATAAGTCTATATATTCCAGCCAAAATGACCCCCCTTCCATGTGAGTGGTTATAGAATACTATTGTAGTACGGTTACGTGATACATCGTGTACACGTGTTATAATATAAGTAGATATTTATTGATACTATTCCCTAAAAAGGGAGAAAATAAACTTTTTCGTCCACCCATATTATAATATATGTACGAGATGTACCACATGATCATAGTAGTATTCTATAATTTCATTTAAAGAAATAAGTCCACATGTTTCCCATGCTTGGATCATCTTTTATATTAGCAAAAACAGATTGACATTTCTTTATAAAAGTCTACAATATAGAATGGCAGATGGAATTTTAAAAGCCCCCTCTCAATCCTAAAGCTCGAGTATATTGCGAAGGCCTCACTGAAATTCTATAATATTTGGTGTTCTGCACACGATGGATTGTTTCGACAGGTTTTGCCCAGAAGGCCATAAACAGCGATGCTTGAATCCAGTTTCAGTTAATTATTAAACTCATCATATGGAAAACATGGATCTATTATTAAGAAAAACTTGCGGAAATCGACGAGTATGCATGGAGAACCTTATCATAAGGGATCATTCTGATGCTGGCCATGTGATTTCATTCATTTTATATATGTAGGATAGAATTTGTTTGATGCATTAATTGCTCTCGTAGTTGGTATTTATAAATTGTCCGATGCGGTTTGGACGACCAAATCATTTCATCGTTGAGAGCTACAATTTGAGCTAAAATCAGGGGAGAGAACCAAACCAAATCAAATAAGTATTCGATTGTTTGAAACAAACACATAAAGGTTGAAAAAAACACAACAGTTCTATAATTCAAGGTTGAAACAAACACATCAAATTTTGTAGCTCAGATTTATATGGACTTTTTCTATGGTTTTTCACCCCTTAATCCATTTTATTAATACCAACTTTGCTGTGCTATGATCTATTACATAATATATAAAAGACCAGCAGGCTCGCTTTCCATATGGTGAGTTATTCTAAGTTTCAGACCGATTAAACCAGACAACTATTAAGACAAATAAGTCCACGTTTTTCCAGTGCACAAATAAGATCATGTTTTAATTGTTAATTTGGCATTAACTATACATATTAGCAGTAGTTAATTTGACAAACTCATCAAATCTTGTAATAAACGGATTTACATTTCTAATGTTATCAAACCTTTGAGTGGTTCGGACCCCATGTCATCTTGGTAGTGTGTGTGAGAGAGAAAACCCCTCCGCCTTTCTAACTTTGGCAAAAAGGAAAAAAACACCTACAACCGCTGCCCAACTCTTCAAAAACGCACAATAGAATTTGGGTTTTGAAGTGAAATTCATTGGGCTAGTGGTCGATGAACGTGTAGTGCAAATGGTTTAGTCAAAACTGTACCCGCAATTGATAAGGCCAAACTCCAACGGTTAATGGATGTGTGAAAAGAGAAATCCATATCCATCTACAATAGCTTCAAATTGCAAATCTGTGTTGTAGCCTGCGAACTTTGGCCGCCATGGTTCTCCAAGGTTGTCTTGCAAGTGATCCTCACAACCAACACCACAAGACAGAAATAATTTTTACTTTAAGTACTAATCAATTTGCCAACTGTTTAAGAGAAGGAATTAAAATATGAAATGATTGGCGGCCAAAACTAAACCATAGTAAAAATAATAGTAAATTGAGGTTACACCTATAAAATTCATTTAAAATCATATACAGCCCTTCCTTTTATTTTTCTATTTAAAATACTCAATTTTTTCAAATAATACCCAATGACTAGGATCCAACTAAGCAGTTACCTAAGATAACTTAAAATATGATTTATTATATTTTTCAGATTCCAAAACTACCCCTATTTATAATTTCATGTGTTATATGGGAGGAGTATTAAGCTTTGGAAGCACAAAGAAGACAAAAAAGGAAGTTAAGAACATGAACAAGGAAAGGTCATTATTAATGAATAGAAAGTGAAGTAGGAAGAGCTCCTGAGCAATCAGAGACAAAAGAACCCAAAAAAAGGAGAGCAATTTACATTTTGGTATAGCGAAGAAACCAACAAGAAACTTCCATAACTGTACATTAATGTCCTCATCAGTTTGATTGAAGTGGCCACTATAATCACTTCCGTAAATGATGACCATTCAGTCTGAAATCAAAGCACTTAATTTACCTACAGCACATAAACAAAACACTTAATTTACCTACCCAACAGCACATAAACAAAGCACTTAATTTATGACAGGACCCGTCCCGAATTTCCCGGAACCCGAGACGAACCCTGCGGAGACCCCGGCATCACACCCACGCCGGGTTTACTCCTTAAATCTACGTCCTCGTTCACCATAGAGGATTAAGGGCACGAGACTTTCTGCCGAAAATTTCGGCAGAGTCTCCCCTGTAAATTGAATATTCCCCAAAAGTTCCACCTGCATAAAACTCATTTTATAACCCAACCAGCAGCACGCACAATATCATCTCATGCAATTTACATAAATGGCCTCCGGCCTTCAAATGATTCTAGCAGATTGCCCACACTGTTTTCAAAATAACTTCATGCATCAACCATGCATATAACAAATTCCAAATCTCTCTATGCACACCTTCACTCACTCAGTCCACCGGACAAGCCTCAATTCAACCAAGTTTCGGGACCAACCACGAGGTCCGCATCATACACGATAAAACCACCTAAGTGGTGTCTAAGTCGTGGCTGCACCTAGGCGCTAACCCAGGCTGCCTACGTACCCTACTAAGGGATCAAGCCACACGTAGCTCTTTCCTATCAAACCTGGCTCCTGATATCAATTAAACCATCACATCCATATAAATTTATCACAACACACCAAACACAATCACATAGCTCCACTCATACGTCGGGACGCACCCGGCCACGTACGGGGTCTGTCAACACGCCGGCTAATCCAAAGACGCGTGCGACCTCACACTGGGCCTGGCTACATTCTCACCAGCCATCATACCATCATATCTCCCACTCATACGTCGGGACGCACCCGGCCACGTACGGGGTCTGTCAACACGCCGGCTAACCCAAAGACGCGTGCGACCTCACACTGGGCCTGGCTACATTCTCACCAGCCATCATACCATCATATCTCCCACTCATACGTCGGGACGCACCCGGCCACGTACGGGGTCTGTCAACACGCCGGCTAATCCAAAGACGTGTGCGACCTCACACTGGGCCTGGCTACATTCTCACCAGCCATCATACCATCATATCTCCCACTCATACGTCGGGACGCACCCGGCCACGTACGGGGTCTGTCAACACGCCGGCTAACCCAAAGACACGTGCGACCTCACACTGGGCCTGGCTACATTCTCACCAGCCATCTTACCATCATATCTCCCACTCATACGTCGGGACGCACCCGGCCACGTACGGGGTCTGTCAACACGCCGGCTAACCCAAAGACGCGTGCGACCTCACACTGGGCCTGGCTACATTCTCACCAGCCATCTTACCATCATATCTCCCACTCATACGTCGGGACGCACCCGGCCACGTACGGGGTCTGTCAACACGCCGGCTAACCCAAAGACGCGTGCGACCTCACACTGGGCCTGGCTACATTCTCACCAGCCATCTTACCATCATATCTCCCACTCATACGTCGGGACGCACCTGGCCACGTACGGGGTCTGTCAACACGCCGGCTAATCCAAAGACGCGTGCGACCTCACACTGGGCCTGGCTACATTCTCACCAGCCATCATACCATCATATCTCCCACTCATACGTCGGGACGCACCCGGCCACGTATGAGGTTTGTCAACATCCGAGGAGGTACATAGGGTAGTGCATATAACACTGCAAACTAACATTCAATCATAAAATCCATACATACTTTTTATACATTAATTTCTAATAATATAAACACCTTAGTAAACAACTAGCATCCGATAATTCCCCATAATCCCCATAACATCAGGACCTGTCTCTATGGTCATTCTAACCCTCCTGGGAAGGTAGAACTATCCCAAAGGTCTCACAGTCAACCTAGAGTCAAACGGGCCTGCAGGGCCCACAACCTCCAATTTCCGATCCGAAAGTTCCAATAGGTTCTACAAGCTCTAGGATGCACGTCCTGCAAGTTTGGTCCAGATCGGACGGTCGGATCGCTCACGATCGCAGGATCGGACGGTTACTAAAACCCTAACCCCAGGGTTGGCATTTCCGGAGTATCCGGGACTCCGTTTTACGATCCGTCGATCCTACACGATCCTGGTAATACCTAGATCAACATATTATAATCTCAGGACCATCCAACGGTCCAAACCCAGCGAACCCGGAAAATACGCGATATGCGATATCCGTTCGGGACTCTAACGATATCCAAATTGAGATCCGAGCACACCTACGCGCTCGTGACATCGAGAGGATCACAATGGGACAAAAATGCCCCTCAGCTACAGTGCCCACGCGCCGCCACACGCGCCGGCAGCGCGTGGGTGTCCAAAGCGATATCGCATCGCCGGAAAAACCACGAATCGCGGCTCAAGACTCCTACCCTAGGTAAAACACCTAATTTGGAGTCACTTTTGTTCTTGGACGTACCCCAAAATCTGACCGGAAGTGGCCGGAATCTCATCCCGAAATCCAGCCGAACCCTAACTCGAAAATCAGATAATCTAGGCTCAAAATCGATACAATCCTACCCATCCATCAGCTAGATCATGCAGAAGGGATGAATTTCCATACCTTGATCGCCAAAAATGGCGGCCGAACGACGGAGAACGAAGCCGGCGAAGTTTCGGGCGAAACCGAGCTTTTCTCTTCGATTTTCCGGCGAAATCTCGACGGCTGACGGCGAGACCTGGCTGGGGTAGGAAGAGGACGGCGGCCCGGTCATTTTGGTACCGGCCCCGTTGACTTTGGTGGCCGGACGAGAGCACGGCCGGCCCAAACGTGGCCGGCCACAGTGGCTGTCGCGAAAACCAGAGGGAGAGACGCGCGCGGGAGAGAGAGAGTGTCCGAGAGACGGGGGCAATTCCGTCTTTTAACCAAAAATCCCACTTCAAAATATTTACGATTATGCCACTGAGCTTCATTTGATCATATCTCTCTCGTTACAACTCCGATTCGAGCCCACTACATGTCTACGAACTCATCTCGCCATGCTCTACGCAACGGTACATCCGGAATTCCCAAATTCCTTCCGGGCAAGAAAATGACTAAAATACCCCTATCCCACGGGTAATTTCTCAATTCCACTTAAATAAATTAAAACATGGGATAATTTGGGGTCGGGGTGTTACAATTTACCTACCCAACAGCACATAAACAAAACACTGAATCTATATTTCATCATTCCAGATTTCGAGTTGTGATGTGCTTCTAGTGCCATGAGATGAACGAGCTGAAAGAGGAAGCTGTCATCATCATGAACGACTAGCTACGAGCATTTTGGCTAAGAGAAGAAGATAGCTTGGAAAGGTAAAGCTACTCCTTAATAGGCCTAGAATCCTTGAGCCTACACCTGGTGTTTCTATAACTATTTCTTTCTTCTTAGTGGATTGCCTGATTGTCTGATGACCCCCAGTTTTTCCTAATGGTGGGTTTTTGGGTCATCATCTTTGGGTGTTCTTTTGAATGTTGCTTTGTCTTACTTTGCTTGTTCTTACTTGTTTCTCACACACATCTCACCTACTTATTGCTAGCACAAGGGATGTCAAGATTGACAGGTCCTTCTGAGTGCATAGGTTATCACTTAGTTGTTTGCTAGGCTTGCAGGGGTTTGAGAATTGAATGATAAATGAATGTGTATTCTGCTGTGTGTACTCAGACCTATGACTAGTTATTGACTAGTCATATAGTTGTTAGGTTTACCTTGTTATCTAATATGTATGGTCAGCAAGTTTAATTTTTAATTTACCCCTTTCACTTAAGTATGAATTTCATATGGAAAAATTAACCATAAGATCCTTTCTCTAGATAAAGAAAACCATTATTAGAAAAAATTCCATTGTTCAATTAGGAGTTAATTCTCTACGGGTCTAGAAGGTAAACGAACTTTTTCTTATTAAAAATTCCAATGTTCAATTAGGAGGTACTCCTTAATAGGCCTAGTATATATGCTGCTCTAAGCTTATCAGGATTGAGGTTTACAAAATGCGCTTTACAATAAGCTCTACCTGGGTTTTAGACTTGAAGGTATATATCATTAAACATTCTTCGTACATAATTATTATGCAATAATAGAATTTCCTAGAACAGTTTATTCAACATTAAATTAAATCGATATTGGTTACATCGATAACATAATCAACCAAGCATGCACATCATACGTGTAAACAACCTTCCACTTATTCTCTCTCTCTCTCTCTCTCTCTCTCTCTCTCTCTCTCTCTCTCTCTATATATATATATATATATATATATACACATGTATGCGCGCACACACATATTTATATATAGGAGGTGGAGTTTATTACACATCTCTCTCTCTCTCTCTCTCTCTCTCTCTCTCTCTCTCTAAAGAGTTGGGATACTTTGTTTATGCTTGAAAAAATTATGAGGATCCACCTTGGTTTTCACACGTACCAATCTATCAAAATTACCTTTAAAGTACTTCTTTCCATAAAGTTTAGCCGTCTCAAAGTTAGTCTGACTGTCCTGATTGGCACCAATGTCGAGATCCCTGTAGTTTTGGAAGGCCTCTCTTGGATTCTCGGAGACATATGGAGTCATCATTTCGTACAACTCTCTTATTAAGCCAAGATACTTGTTGGTGGTCTCAATCCCTTCATCATACCACGACGAATAGTATAGAGCAAAAAATAGATTTCCGGCCCTGTGAGGGTATGGAGTTGCTGACACAGAAATCTCACTCATTCTTCCACCGTAAGGGTTCCAATCCAACCAAATATTCTCAATCTCGATCATCTTCTTCCATATAGATTCAAAAACATGTTTTGGAAGCGGCTTCTTTACATAGTCAGACTTACCTTTGTAGAAGGTTTCAGGTTCAGTTGGCTTGTTGAGAAGAACATTTATCGGAGTTCCAATAGGATTGTCAGCCCAAAATACAGTGGATTCCACCCAACTCACTTCATAGCAGTCTTTTCGTTGTAAACCCAATTCAGGGAAACGCTCATTGAGCAATGCAACAACCTTGTCGCTTTTTCCCAAGAAATGGCCAAGGAACGATACTGCCACAGTCTTTTTTCCCTTGGTATCAATATTCTTCACTTGTGGCATTGCCCTGAGGAAGAGCTCTTTGGGCAGCTTGGGTGCAACAGTTTGCCACTTATAAACCAAATTTGTAACACCTTCCTCTATGGTCCTTGTAACGTTGAACACAGTCACTTTGGCTGGAACTGGAACCAGCTTGAGCTTCCATGAAAGAATGACTCCGAAGCTAGCTCCACCACCTCCTCTGATGGCCCAGAAAAGGTCTTCTCCCATTGACTTTCTATCAAGGATTGTACCTTTCACGGTAACTATCTTAGCATCAACGATATTATCAACGCTAAGCCCATATTTTCTCATCATAAATCCATACCCGCCACCCCCGAAGTGGCCTCCAGCACCAACCGTTGGACAAATCCCAGCAGGAAACCCATAAACCTTGGTTTTTGCAGCAATTGCATAATAAACTTCTCCAAGAGTAGCTCCAGACATAACCCAAGCTCTTTTCTGCGCAAGATTAACATCAACGGATTTAAGATTAAACATGTCGAGAATGACAAAGGGGACATCCGACGTGTAAGATAAACCCTCGAAATCGTGGCCACCACTTCGGATTTTAATTTGCAATCCATGACGTTTGGCACAAACCACAGTTGCTTGGACATGGGATTCATTCTTGGCTGCTATTATGGCCAAAGGTTTTGTAGTTGTTGGTGTAGAAAATCTGCGGTTGTTGATATGTAATACCAAAACAGATTGAAAGGAGGCATTTTGACGGGTGTAAATTGTTTCCTGGATTGGGTGAGCAGAGTGAGAATGTTTGGTAAGGCATTGGAGAAAGCCATCGAAGTCAGCTGTTGCTGAAGTTGCCCATGATACTGAGATTGAAAGGACTGAGAGAATGAAAAGAAGCACTGTAGGGTTTTGGAACTTCATTGGTACGTAACTTGTGAGGCTAATGGCTTTCTTGCCTTGAGTTTTGGCTGTGTGATAAGATAACAGACTTGGGGCAGTATTTATAATGAAGCCAGAGCACCCAAGTTTGGACTTTTTCTTTGTTTTCTCACGTACGCAATCCCCTTGCATTTTATTAATATCAACTTTGCTGCTTCGAGTATTGCATATGACCAGGCTTTCCATATGAAGAGTTATTCTAAAGTTTCAAGTTTCAACCCAGACAGCTTGCTATACATGACCCTTTTCCATTGCAGACTTCCTTTAAAAAATATATAAAAAATCTACAAAAAAATCTATATAATATTGGAAAAGTTCACAAATTATAGAGCAGGAGCACGCCCAGATTGCGAAGCGCTCTCTCAAAATCTGTAAAATTGGGTGTTCTGTACACGACGGACTGTCACAAATTTGATCCGAAACTCCATAAACATAGATGGGATTGTGGAAAACCTGTCTATTATTAAACTCACCATATGGAAAGCCTGGTTTATTATTTAGAAAAACTGATGGAAATCAAGGAGTATGCATGAAGGACGTAGGGATTTTATTGATGTTGGCCATGTGGTATCAATGATTTTATATGTAGGGATTTTATTGATGCATTGCTCTCATATAGTTTATTTTAATTAAATGGAATGGGATCACGTTATATATGGGTGGACCCGACCATGTTTGGATCGCTTTTCCTTCAAAACCTCTTTCAAATTAAGAATCAGTGAAGGCTATGGTTTGAGCTAAATTGGGAGGAGAATCTTAATGAAATTAAACAAACTGTAGGGTTGTTTGTTTGGTTCAATGTATTTGGTGATTTAAGCCTAAGATCAATAATATTTATATACATAAAGAGCTTCTATTAATGGATTCCTCAAATAAGCTTATTTGAAGGACACCCTTGTAGGGCCCACTATGCATTGTATTTCACTAATCCAAACCATCCAGTTTGTAGATATTAATCCAAATATCATATCTATAAAAAAAAAATACTTGAATCCTATATTATTTGACCATTCAATTAAATTATTGAAGCACCGTATTCATTGATTTTATTGGTCTCAATTAGATGCCTTAATGATTTTCAATTTGTCTGATTTTTTGCAAGGATTATTATGACTGAAGACTTGAAAAATAGCTTGAATCGTTGAAAAAAATTTCGTAGGGTACCCTGAAGGGTTTCCCTCAATGGAAGGGACTATATATATATATATATATATATATATATATATATATATATATAGGATCCCTCAAATAAGCTTATTTGAGGTACACCCTTGTAAGGCCCACCCCGCCTTGTATTTCAATGATCCGAATCATATATTTTTTAGGTATTCATTCAAATATTATCTCTGTAAAAAATCACTTGAATATGAATCCATTTGACCACTCAATTGAACAATTTTTATTTTAGTATTTTTTTTAAGCACCATTTTCCTTGATTTTGGTGGGCATAACTAGACGTCTTAACAGTTTTCAATTTACCTAATTTTTTGCAAGGATAATCTATGAGTGAAGACTTGAAAATAAGACAATGCGGATCGTTGAAATAAAATCCATAGTGGCTCCAAAGGATGTCCCTCAAATATATTATTTGAGAAATCTCTTAATAGAAGAAGATTATACGTACATTGTATATATAGGTATATTCAGTGATTCGGCCCATTTAGTATTTTATTTTTTCTATAACTTTCATTTACACACTTTTCATCTAACAGTCATGTGAAATGAAACACATCAATTATAATTCAAATTGAAACAAACACATAAAATATTTCTTATTATTATAATCTTATGAAGCCAATCAACCTAACAATCTTATAACAATTTAAAGCACATAATAAAAAGCCAATATTGTATCCACCATTCTAATTTCTAAATATGTACGTAGTATCCTAACAGGGTTGATGAAACTGTTGAGGAAGAAAACAATTTTAAGTTTTAGTTTGTTGACTTTTAGATATCTTTTAAAAAATTAGGTACGAATATTGAAAGTTATTAGGCACACCGCTATTTCAAGAATAAATTATGAGCTTCTTTTTAGTTGTTAAATATTGGCTTTCAATTCTTTCAATCACAGTGCTTTGGTAATTGGGAAAGCGAGCAAGGAGAAATATTAAACCCCAATTCTTTGCCTTCGATAATTTATTTTTCCTACATTTTGGCTTCCATAAATGAAAGTTTATTTTTCTTTTGAGTACAAGCGAGTGGGGAAATGGTGTTTACATAAATATTTATTGGGTGTGTCTAGAGATTTCAAAGCTCTGTCTACAAAATAAAGTAAAAGAGTTCAACCAACTGAGTTATACTCCACTGACAATGAATAAAAGAACTTAGTAATATGCTGTTTTTAATATGCATCTATACTCGTTTAATTTGATTATATATAATATGCTTTGTGTGGGTGGATTGCTGCTTTGCTTTTTTTTTCTTTTTTTCTTTTTTTTTTGGTACCCAATTAATTCATCAACAGGCACCTAACCTATGCATAATAATGGTCTCACCCCCAACCATACACGGCCTTTGTGAAGCAAAAAAATAATCAAAGCTTGAATTTGTGCTTAGGAATGAAAAGGAAAAGAAGAAATGAAGAATAATAAATCCCAACAGATGATTCATGAACATTAGATAGAGAGGTGTAGAAAAAGTGGTCCATAATTTCTTCATTTCTTAGACATACAGGGAGAGAGTTTGTGGGTGTGCTTCAACATTTTTGGCCAGCCTACAATTGATTTCTTTTGTAGATAAGGTTCATTGTGCGAACATGATTTGAAAACTTTCGTAAAGCTCAATCCCTTTATGAGTTAATGTAGACTACAAACTTTCGTAAAGGACTTGTTGATTATATTCGGGTTTAGAAAGAACACATATAGTAGAGGTTACAAGACATCGTCATTGTAGACTACAAGCCTTATTTTACAACAAATAAAATGAATATTTTGGTAAACATCTCTCTCTCCACTTATTCTATATATATCTCTCTCTCTCTCTCTCTCTCTCTCTCTCTCTCTCTCAGAGGTGGAATTTATTGTTTATGGATATCACATGTACATAGTATACATCTCTCTCTAAAGAGGGGGGATACTTTGCTTATGCTTGAAAAAATTAAGAGGATCGACCATGGTTTTCACACGCACCAATCTATCAAAATTACCTTTGAAGTACTTCCTTCCGTAATGTGTAGCAGTTTCAAAGTTAGTCTTATTATCCTGGTTCGCACCTATGTCGAGGTCCCTGTAGTTTTGGAACGCCTCTCTTGGATTCTTGGAGACATATGGTGTCATCATGTCATACAACTCTCTTGTTAAGCTAACGTACTTGTTGGTGGCCTCAATCCCTTCGTCATACCACGACGAATAGTATAGAGCAAAAAATAGGTTTCCGGCCCTGTGAGGGTATGGAGTTGCTGACTCAGAAATCTCACTCATTCTTCCACCATAAGGGTTCCAATCCAACCAAATGTGCTCTATCTCAATCATCTTCTTCCATATAGAATCAAAAACATGTTTTGGAATTGGTTCCTTCACATAGTCTGACTTACCTTTGTAGAAGGTCTCTGGTTCAGTTGGCTTGCTGAGAAGAATTTCTATGGGGGTTCCAATAGGACTTTCAGCCCAAAATACAGTGGATTCCACCCAGCTCACTTCATAGCAGTCTTTTCGTTGTAAGCCCAGTTCAGGGAAACTCTCATTCAACAATGCCACAACCTTGTCACTTGTTCCCAAGAAATGGCCAATGAATGATACTCCCACAGTCTTGTTTCCCTTGGTATCAATATTCTTCACTTGTGGCTGTGCTCTGAGGAAGACCTCTTTGGGCAGCTGGGGTGCAAGAGTTTGCCACTTGTAAACCAAATCTGTAGCACCTTCCTCTATGGTCTTTGTAAGGTTGAACACAGTCACTTTGGGTGGAACTGGAACCAGCTTGAGCTTCCATGAAAGAATAACTCCGAAGCTAGCTCCACCACCTCCTCTGATGGCCCAGAAAAGGTCCTCCCCCATTGACTTTCTATCAAGGATTCTACCATTGGCAGTAACTAGCCTAGCATCCACGATATTATCGACGCTAAGTCCATACTTTCTTATCAAAACCCCATAGCCGCCGCCACTAAAATGGCCACCAGCACCAACTGTTGGACAAATCCCAGCAGGAAAGCCGTAAACGTTGGTTTTTGTACCAATTGCATAATAAACTTCTCCAAGAGTAGCTCCAGAGTGAACCCAAGCGCTCTTATCAGCAACATTAACATCAATGGAATTAATGTTAAACATGTCGAGAATGACAAAGGGCACATCCGACGTGTAAGATAAACCCTCGAAATCATGGCCACCACTTCGGATTTTAATTTGCAACCCATGATGTTTGGCACAAAGCACAGTTGCCTGGACGTGGGACTCATTCTTGGCTGCTATTATGGCCAAAGGTTTTGGAGTTGCGGCTGTAGAATATCTGCGGTTATTGATACGTGCTACCAAAACAGATTGAAATGAGCTATTTTGAGGGGTGTAAATTGATTCTTGGATTGTGTGGGCAGGGTGAGGATATTTTGTGAGGCATTGGAGAAAGCCATCAATGGAAACTGTTCCTGCAGTTGTCCATGGTATCGAGAGTGAAAGGACGGAGAGAATGAAAAGCAGGACTGGAGGGTTTCTGAACTTCATTGGTAATATGTGGGATTGTAGCTTTCTTGATTTAATGCTCAGCAGTGTGATAATACAACAGGCTTGGGGCGGTATTTATAATGGAGCCAAAGCACCCAACTTTGAATATGTTTTTGGTTTCTCACCCAACCCGTGTAGCGTATCAAATTCAACTTGTTATGTTCAATTTTATAATATTATAAAATCCAATTTGTAATATTAGTGTATCAAATTCGCAATAGTTTTATCTAATTGTAGACTTTTATCTCTAGTAGACTTGGCTAATATTAGAAAAGCTTATCCGTTTGAGAAATGGACCTTTCAAATCTCCCTCCTCAACGCTGGGGTATAGCATACCCAGTTGCAACTTCCTCTCTTAATTCTATAATATGGCGTCTTCTGCAAGACTAAATTAACATCTAATATAATTGATTTCATATATATACTTGACTTTTTATTTTTTTTTGTCGGGTAGAGTCTGTTTGATTATGTATAAAA